AGTGGTGGACAAGCTCAAAATATTTCAGACCCGTGATCCGATCGACTAAAACGCATCTTAACACCAGGTGTAAACAAGGCCTTTGCTGTAGTAAACTTGCTCGATATCTCACCTGGTACAGCATTGCACTTGTGATTGAGTACCATTGAGTCCCATGAAACATAAGTCATGATAAACGAGCTCAAAAACGTTTAGAAACAAGCTAAAATGACATGATTGTTTCAGTAAATCTGTTTTTATGTCTTTTGTAAACTTTATTGGGTGATTGATTAGGGTTTAATGTAGGTGGTATGATATTTTCAAATGCATTAACCTTTTATCACCACTCACGGGACATTTTAATTCAGAACTGCTGCAATACGTACAACAACCAATGTAATAAAACACTGCCAGATTCACGTTCATCTGTTCCGGATCAAACTGAACAGGCACTCACTGGAAATTTCACTTTGAAACTGTTTTGAAATGTGCAAGACACAACGTAATATCATTTTGCAGAAATGTCACCACAGGTATGTTTTCATTCCCATTCATCTCAATGGGAAAACCCCCCAAACGTACACTTCCTGGATGCTGCCATCTTTACTCGTGGACATTGTTGCTTAAAAACAAATGTATTTAATCAGAATGCTCTGCAACATTTTAATGGCATCATTTCAGAAAGAGAATGAATGAAACTGAATGGAATTGGATAACAGCCAGACCTTCACCCTTGCTTCCAGCACAGTTCATCCAATCACAATATAGAGCTGGAAAATAAATGTGTTATAGTTTTAATTTGGTTCTTCCTCTTCTCCATTGCGGTCACTTCCCTCCTTTCTGCATCCATACATTTATCCTCAGTCATCTGCTGTGGAAGCACCAATTAATCATGATGTTTTCTCAACTCTAATTCTTTAAATTTTGCTTCATTTATCCTGCGTCATTTGTCACGTCTTTCAAATGTTCCGGTAAGTTTACAACTTTCAATTGCATTGGTCATGAGTTCAAATATTGCTTGACTGAATACGTTATAGCCAGTTAGTCCCTATCACATATTTTAGTAATCATCGTAAATTAGGTTAAACACTCAAAATTCATCTTGTGAAAATAATTTTGAAATCAGACATTGGGTTACCATGGAAATGGCACTTTAAAGGAGCTGTATGTAAGAAATGTATTTCAATTAATCATAAAATGGCCCTGATGTGTCTCTAGCCATTAAGAAATCATGTTCATTTCAAATACAAATAACTGACAACAGTAGTACGGCCACGATATTGTAATTTAAAAAGTGAAGTTGCAGCCCTCAACTGATGTTGATGTTGTCATCTTGTGTTTTGGCCTGAAGCCCCACCCTCCACCTATCTACCAATCACGAAGTCAGTAGTGTTTCGGCATCCAGGTTGCCAGCTCTGCTCTAGTTGAAAGCTCCTTGTAGCAGCCTACGTTCCTGCTGGATCCTGCAGCCTATCTGGCAACCTTGAGTCAGGGAGGAGGGGGAGGGGATGCACCGCTCTACAGTAATTTGAAAGTGATTGCAGTACCAGTTTTGGCCACAATCTTACATACAGCTCCTTTAAATCTCTCAATCTTTGTGATTTGAGCTTCAGATTTAGATAGGCATATGGCTTTGAATTTCTAGCAATTTTAGAGTCCAACTTAGCCTGGTTAAAACCAGACCATTCTCAGTTGTAACTGAGTTATGGTCTGGCAAAGCGTCATAGACAAATCATTTCCAGAGGGGCGTCACCAACGGACGTCGCGGATAGACCTAAACCCCATCAGAGCGATGAAGGAGATGACGTATGCAGAGCGGCGGAGAAACATCTCCGAGTGTTGTTCTTTGCTCGGTTTTTAACAAAAAGGAAACCTTCAAATGGCTTAAAACAGACGCGATAGCTGATTCGAACGAGTGATGTTCGACGGCGGCATCCATCTTTGTAATGTAGGCTACAAAATCTGCTTCAAAATCCCAGCGCTGTCGTCATCGTGTAAAGCCCGCCCCAACGTTTCTGATTGGTGCCTCGATTTCGACGGATTGGAAATGGGCTTGAATGAGCTCTTTGCCAGACTAACTTTCAGAGCAAATCTAAATTTGCCGGAAGTTGTCTGGGTTTTCCCAGGCTAAGTCCAACTTATTTTGTAAAATATACCTTCACCCTTGCTTCAACCACAGCTCTTCAAATCAGAATATAGATTTTACTCTTCCTCTCTCTGTCTCTTCTCCATTGCTGTCACTTCCCCACATCCCTCCTTTCCCCCATCCATCCATTTATCATCAGTCATACGCTCTTTTAACTCTGTTTCCCATGCAATTGTGCCTATTTATCATGATATTTTCTCAACTAGGACTTCTAGTTTTGCTCCATGTTTCAGGGTGAGGTTGTAGCATGGAGAGGAGAGGATCTTTGGTGTATTTATTAAAGGAAAACAACACAACAAAGCCGGGACAAGGATTGGAAGAAAAATGACAGGAAACCCAACCATACTTTGACGTGAACGGACCACAAAAAACTGAATCCACAAAACTAGGAACATGTTTCAGTTTAGTTTGCCCCAATCCTGGATATTCTACTTCGTTTGTAATGTTTTTTTTCTTTTTCGGGTCGGGGTACAACACATTGGTCTACAGATATCAACAATTGCATTTGTCATGAGTTCAAATCATGCTTGACTGAATATGATTTATAATGAACTAAAATAGAATCGTTTTTTCAATAGACATATTTCAGTAGCCTAATGGTTGATTTACTTTTTTAAATGTCACTGCAATGTGAGGGATTACTTATGCTTATTTAAACCGAGCACAGAATGATCCATATATGAAAACCAGCCTCTATAATGCATCAGAAAAAACACAAAAGCCACAGCATTCAGTATTTTAGTGTTTATTTCTACAATGTTTCTCCAGAGCAATGTTGATTCATGCAAATATTTCTGGGTTTGCTTTTGTCCTTTCAACGAAAGATTTTCATAATGGTCTTGTATTCTTCATCCATTTCGAAGGGTTAAAATGTCTTTCAGTTTCTTCATGGTTTATTGTCTATGAGAGCAAATCAATGTCCAGTCCCATCACTGTTGGCCTGCTGTTGTTGCACATGAAGTATACAAAAACATTTATTTTATTATTTGCACATTTGTCATTTTCGACTCCACTGAAACTTTTATAAAGTTATGCAAACTTGTGCTAATTACTACACAATATTTGTCACAATTCTAAAAAGTAGCACAGATACCAACGTTTCTGTTTTCTGTTATATCCATGCAAAATGCCCTTTCAAACATTGTCATCAATACTTTTATTATTTTAATTTTAACAACACAAGATTAAAACAGTTCCAGCACATCACCTTTTGCTACCTTTCTTCAAACAAGAATACAAAATCGAACAAATCTAAAAAAAAAAAAATTAATTTGCGCAAGACTTGTGTGGAAAAAGGTAGTACATGACACTTTATTGGCATTTTAGTCTAAATGCAAAGTATACCAGGTTTAGCAGCTAGTAACATTTTTAATGGCTCAAATAAAAGGATCTTATATAGAAATTCATTTGGACCTTCATTCCCTGACACAAAGCAGCAGATTTTTTTAGACATCACTAACCCATTATCTATGAAACATAAATATGACACCTTCATTTAACACACCCTTCCTGCACATACATTAACAAACTGGATGTTAAAGTGGGGTTTAAAACACATTTTAACAATATTTTTTACTAATAACCACATTTTAATGTAAAACAGGATGTTTAATGAGAAAAAAATATAGGCCGTCAACTGAATTACTTTGTGAAAAGTGTCTCTTACATACTGTACCAGAATGAAGTCAGGTGTTTTGAGGGGAGGGTTTGAAAGTAAGAGGGATTTGTGATGTGATCAAAAAATAAAACCTTTTTAGAGGCTGAAATCTTTCATTTATTTATTTGAATAATGTGCAGAGTCGGTAAGACCAGTCGTGCACAGTAAGACCAGAAATGTATATTAAGATAGTAAATTTTGATTTCATGTTGACTTCTGAATATTACACAGTGAATGGTATACCTGAGAAATCCTTAACTTGGATAAAAGCAAAGCACACGTATGTCAACAAGACATCTATGAAAGAGAACATCATCTGGAAAGCATAGCATTCTTTTTACGCATTGCAAACATCTGATAAAGATCTTGAAAAAAGCAAATTCATATATAAAAAATGTAATTCGATCTGATGTCCGATAGGAACTTGTCCAAGACATTGCAAGGGGTCCAAAACTGACATCTTCTAGAGGAAATCAAAACGACGTCTCAAGTGAAATACGTGTGCTATCAGGGCCTCCATCCATGATGCTCAGAGAGAACGCAAAAAAGGAAATGTATGTAATGTGGTATTGTACTGTTCTTACGGTATGAACTGTATGTCAACACACAAAGGCTGAAGGGTTTTTGAAGGGTTTTGTGCTTCTGGAAGCCATCATGTCTAAATTGCTCTTTAGCGGGACACCCACAGCCCTGTTTCTGAATGCAAGATTTGTACAACTATTTCATATTAGGTGACGCAGGGCCAAGTACTGCATGCCTAGATAGAGAGGAATTACATGGATTGCATCTATACGTTACTCTGAAGAGAGTTTTTGCATCTACCATCCAAACCTTCAGGTTTGAGTCTTCTGCAATCAAGTGACTTTTTTTTGCTAGTTTCAGATTAATAGTGAGCAAACTGAGATTTGACAGTGCGGTTTCTCCAAAATATTATAATTAAACACTGTAATGCTACAGTATTAAATAAATAACAAAAAGGTCAAGACCTAAATGAATAATACAACACACGTATAAAGTAATCAATAAGTCATATCCACTGACCGACCACAAGCACGAAACAATACCAACACAGCTCCTACTGTGCTTCTGAAACCACGTTAAGTCTCCACTTGAAATGGTTTAGCTGTTTTTTCCAAAGTTTTTAAAATCTGATTTCAATCATTTTTACGGCAAAAAAGTCAACATATTGCTCCATATTTTCATTGAAGAGTTTTTTCCCCAATTCTTCCAAGTCGTTTTGCTCAAATTATACGTGGAAAACATGGTTGATGCACAATCAGCAGGCTTAGTCGATTGTCTTACACGTTCCCTCAGAGATACTCTTCATCGGGAACAGTTTCACGCTGTCAACTCTCCTTGGGATGCTCTTGGAGCACTTGTACGCACTTTTCCTAATGATGCTTCGCAAGGACTTGAGTCCTTATTGTCATCTAGTGATCCCAAGTATATGTGCAAGGTAGGTTAACTCAAGTGACCTCTCTACACGCATATTTCGATTGGCGTCGTGACCAGGATTCGACCACTGTTGCCATTGCTGTCACGGGAGACACGCTCATAGCCGGCATTGGAGGAAGCCGAGCTGTTGGTGGATGTAGAGGAGAAGTGCGCCATCACCGGCTCCATCACGATCCCTTTAGCTACTCCACACACAGGCGACAAGCTCTGTTGCTTCAATCGGTCCACCAACTCATCTTCTTCAGAGGAAGAGGAGCTAAGCTCAGCCTGACGGCCGTTCATCGCCGCTCCGCCGTTGCAGTTCCCGCCCGAGGCGTGTGTCGTGTTCCCGTTCTCCGTGTCCAGCATCCAGCAGTGGTTGAAGTAGCTAAAGACCTCTTTGACGGAGCATCGGTGGTCCTGCTCGATGGACAGCAGAGACCGAAACATGCGGAGCGCATCGTCAGTGAAACGCCGCCACTGCGAAGGCACTGCGCTGGTCCGCCTCCGCCGCTGCTGCCAGCGCACAAACTCCTCGTAGAAGGCGTCGGACGGCAGCGCTTTCTCCCATGGGAAGTTCCCGGTGAGCATGCAGAACAGAAGCACGCCAAAGGCCCACACGTCGGTGCTGTAGTCCACGCACAGGCCCTCCTGTCGACCGGGGTCGCACAGTTCTGGCGCCGTGTACGGGATGGTCCCGCTAACCCGCTTCACCGGAGAGCCGGCGCGCCTCGTCATGCCAAAGTCTGAGAGTTTCACCTTCCGGCAATCCTTGTCAAAGATGAGGACGTTCTCTGGCTTTATGTCACGGTGCACCAGCTTCTTGCAGTGCAGGTAATCCAGAGCAATCGCCACCTGGTGCACACACCGCTTGGCAACGTTCTCCGGCAGTCCCACCTACGCACAAGGAGCAAGTACAGAATTAGACGCCATGTGGTTACATAATGGATATTATCATGATTCTCACAGACTGACAAATCTGAAGACTTTTTGTAATGCAGCAACAAGTTTGCAGGGAACACAAAGTCCTCATTTAGCTGCCAACAAAGGCACTGTTGCCAACTATGTTCAATGAGAAGTAGCTGAAGACTGCTCTGAAAGTTGCTAAATCCTGCTAGAGAGCGGCTACATATATATATAAATGATATAAATGAACTAAATTAATAACTTTTTTACAACAAAAATGAACCATCACTAACTTACTTAAACTGGACTGTGATGGTATTTTCTTCTAGAAACAAACTTTGTTGCATTATTTTCCTGTTATCACTATGAAGCTGCATTGAAACAATCTGTATTGTAAAAAGCGCTATATAAATAATGGTGACTTGAGTAAATGCTAATTTACATATTAGTGACATCATTACATCGTATCTGTCTAGTGTTGGTCCTTTACATTTCTTTGTTTCTCTCCTACTCTCTGTGTTCACATACTTTATTTTAATACAGCCTAATCCCCTATAAATCTGTTCTCATTTACATATTTCTCTGTTTATAATGTCAGGCGATGGAACGAGAATATGAAATAGTGACTGAAACAAAGCCTATTAAGATTATGTGTCACTTCCAAGCTGCTGCTCTATTTACATGATTTATATTTATATTAAAATGATCGGTTTTCTTTCTTATTTTTTTCTTTGACTGCGCACAGCCTCAACTGAACGTGCTGCTCATCTTAGCTATTCTCTGAATGGAGCAGGTGAAGAGATAGTTGTGCATGCAGTGGGAAAGCATGACCCCATGCTCATCGGAAAGTACAAGTCTGGGAAACTAGATAGAGGTTTGCCACTTGGCGCTTTAAAAAAAGCGCCAAATTGCTAAATGTGTCTTAAAAGTCGCTTAATTTAGCGTCAAAATTGCTGAACAAAGTAAAAAGGGGTAGATACCGAGACTCAAAATACTAATCATACAAATCGAACAAAACCCTAACCCGAATTATCCATGTAAATCACCCTGCGGCATTTGTGCTACAGACATGAATGAGACTCAAATCATGCGTCACACCTGGGAGAGGATCATTAGGGAAAGGGAAAAATCCCATAGATTTGCATTAAAGGAGGAACCCGAGTCATATCTACAGACAAGAATATCACATGAGCTCTTTTGGCTTAATGCAAGTAAGCAACCACCCAGAACACCAAAGCAATGCACTAACAACCAGTCTAAAAACTGTAGCAGTTACCCAGGCACCCTGTCAATCACCCAAAACAACCAATAACATCGTAATAATGAGATTTACATTGCTTTATATGACTCAAATTTACTTCAAATGTTTATGATAATGGTACAACAATGTATGATAATGGTAAAAGTTTATTGGAACAACATAGTTTTCAATTTAACATACTGTTCAATAAGAAATGAAAAATGTTCACAGAATCAAATTATTTTAATGCTTTCATTTAGGACTTTTTAAGTATGAATATGTCTATTAGGAGAGATTCAAGCAAGGTAAAGAAGTTCTCGTTGTCTCACCTGCGGAGGAATGATGTCAAAGAGATCGCCTGCCAGCGCATACTCTTGAGCGAAGATGTAGTATTCATCAGTCTCGAAGGCAATGCCAAACATGTTGATGATGAAAGGACAGGGTGACAGGTAAAGAGAGATGCTGTACTCGCGAAGGAAACTCTTCAGCTTCGTGGTTTTCTTTCGCAAGAATTTCAGGGCCATTTTCGTGCCTGGAGGGAAGGAATAGAGTTAGAGGTTAACATTGCTTAGCTTTTAAAGCATTGCTGATTATTCCGCCGCTGACACAAAGCTAATGGCCTACTTGCAAGATGAATGTGCTCTTTTTAAATGTCACGCAGGGACAATGTCAAGTCATGTATTAATATGGGAAATAACTTTCCAGGGTAACAGCTTCCTTTGACTATAAATTCTAAAGAAAGTTTGAAAGGATTTGAAAAGAATACCTGAAGCAAGAACCCCTAACATTAATCTATTTTCTGTTGGTTAATTCTCCTCTAACTTTTTTTGCTCATTGAAGCCATGGAAGTAAGAATGCAAACAGTTCTAGCTACACACGTTTGATTAATTGCATTGTTCAACTGCAGTAAACACACTGTATTATGTAGGGGAACCAGTAGATTTTCCTTGCAGTAAAAACTTTTTCATTGCATCAATGCATCAAATGACTTTCACTAGTAGAATGAAGAGGGTGGACTATCACCAATCCACGGCAGGCTCGAATCAGATTGGACAATGTTTCTATCATCCCACCGATAAACAAAATCATGTTTAAAATGTACCATCTGAGGAAGAACTTTCACACCTCACACGTTTGGAGGATTTGTTTTGGAACCTGCTGTGTTTTCTCCCTTAGTTCGGTTCGTTTAGGTATGAACGCAACAATTACCCTTGGATCCGCACCCAATAGTCGGTCTGAGATTGCCTGAAATAGGCGGTCTGGGCCGCTTGAAAACGAACTCTAGAGCGGTTCACTTGTGGCGAGAAAGCAATCCAATCCAATGGACCAACGAACTAGGTTGTGTTACAATGGGGGGGGGGGGGGGGGGGGGGGTTGGGGGTTCGAGCGCCGTACTGGCCCCCTGTCTAGCCAAGACCCTCACAATTGTCCAAATCCCCCCCCCCCCCAACCAGTTACGTACATTACATGAAAGGCAGAAGTGTTTGTTTTGCAAATGCCTCTCAAAATGAATCATGGGTTAATCTAGAACAAAGACGAAGTGAAATGCCTAATTGAAATTTGATCAGACAAACATATTTCAGAACAACATATAAGACACATGAAAATATCCAAGTTTGCAAGGTGTTTAGCGAGCGTCTCTACTCTTAGTAGATCTTAGGGGTTTAATCTGATTTAATCCTGACGTATGACTGCTATGAGCAGAATCCCGGAGGCGGGAATATAAACCGGTGCGCTTTAACCAATGAGAGGACGGTTTACTCACACGTGACTTGAATTTTGGTGGTCCATTTAGAAATGCTGCCTTGCATAAGCGACAACAATTTTAATCCCCATTTAGGACTAAAGCAAGCGATCTACAGGTCTGAAAACGCCCTTAGATATCCACATGCACATTACAAAATCTACACATTTCCACAAATTTCCCCAGTGTTCACAGACACTTGTGCCATATTTTGAATGAGTATCGTTTTCTGCTGTTCAATTTTTGAGGCATATTTACTCACCAAATGGAACAAACTGTCATTTTCAGTCACATAGTCTCGTCAATGTCTTGAACAAAAAAGACAGATTTTGCTTTGCACAACACTGCAGATGGTTAGCAGCTGCTAAACAAATAAAAGGAAGGTCAAATGCCAAGAGGAACCCCCGCCCCCAACTTTGCTATTACATAACACAACAGATAGCAGAAGCTGCCTGTGTGTACAAGATAAAGGCCTTAACAAAGGACCTTCATTATAAGCACAGCCGACAGTTGCACCTGCTCATGCAGATGATAGACAATAGGGGCTTTTGCACCCGAGGAACCTGTTCATAGTTCCTTGAACTTTCTTTTTGGCTTGTTTGCAGCGCAGGGACTGGGAACGAATTTAGTTCTAGCAACGCCTTTTGGAGGAACCAAATTAGCTCCTACTTCAGAGTAGGGTCTAAACCAACACAATAGAAACTACCAATGAAGTAAGTGTACGCTGATTGGAACACATGCTATACGAAACAGCACCCACCATTTTTAAAAAGCATGCACAATTTAAAGTGTAAAGTGTTTTATATTGTTACAAGACATAACATACAGAAGGCTAATGTTAACGGCATTTACCTGTCACCTTTGTCTGCGGTGTTGTGTTGTTTAGCACTGCAAGTTGTCGTAGGAGATTTCGTCTTTTAGCCCTCTCCATCGCATAACTTATACGTCTACATTCCATCACGAATCCCACGACACACAACAAACACAGCTCCAATCACGCCGTCCTCCATTCTCCAGTTGTTGACGTTGTTGAATGCGGCACTTAAATGACGTCACTGTCGGCTGGCTTACGTTACTTCTGAGTTCTTACTGGCGGTGCGAATGCAACCAGGAAAATGGCCCTAGGGGAAATTTAGTTCTCGGGGGAACCTCCCTGGTGGCTAGTTCCATTAACTGCGAAAGCTCCTAATCTGGGACTGCATTAGGTGGAACCTAATTGGGAATTGTCGCATTACAATTTGTAGTTGATCACAGAAAACACAAACGCAGTACATCTTTCTAAGATACTACAGTGTAGTCCTCTGTGCAAATAAAGATTTGTAAAGACATCTCTTTGTTGACATATTTCCTATATACACACCTAACGGCTTGTCCTTTTTTTAAATAGCAAAAAGACTTTTTAAATAATCAGAGCCCTAATCCATGATGTTATCCATGCTAGTTGGTTGCAGGTGATATTCTGCTGCATTACATTCTGAATGTCTGAACTTCCTACTTGGAAAAGTGTAATTGATCACCACTTGAAGTCAGACTTTCAACTTGGGAAATTGTGCCGAAATCCATAATTCTATGGTCTATGACATCAGTTAATGATAAACATTCACTTTTAAGCCATTGAAATGCATCAGTGAGTTCCTACATTACAAGATAATTAAGCCGTAGGTGTGTAAAACACAGTATGAAACACATGATCCTCTCTGCTGATAATCGTACACTTGCAGAACAAATGTTAGCATTGCACTCGTTTATCCTCTGCAATTTAGTTGCTTGGAGACGTCCATCCGTTGTTCACAAACTGAAACGATAGCACTCTACAACCTTCGGGCAATTGAACATTTTAGTGGTCAGAAGTCAGGGATGTTATGTACAACCTGTAGGAGTATTGGATGGAACGCAGTATTAAAGAAAGAACTTAAAGAGGTACAGTACAATACACAACCCTGGGCAGTAGATACTTTCATCAATATTTGAATCCATTTTAATAGAAGAGACAAACTATACATATATACTGTATATATGCGTGAAGCAATTCTGGAATACAAAACATTTAATTACAGTCTGAGAATTCCCACAAATAACATGAAACTGTCAAGAAGAGCGGAGGCCTTAAAGCAAACTACAAAAATAGCAAATACAAATTCGGTTCACTCCCCTAGTGATATTCCAGTTGGTAAACACACACTTTCTCTGAAGGATGTCCCATGATATAGATGCAATATCTGTCAGGTATTAGAGCAACTATCCTGAGATGTAAATTTTATGACAGCTCACGAGACGAGTTCTGCTGAGGCCAGCGGGATAGTGGATTCCTGGAACTGCCCCCAGCATCAGTCCTCTAAGTATGGCCCATACTGCATGTAAATAATAAATAAGGTGAGACTGATGGGGATTTTGGATGCTGACAGATGGTGTGTTTTGCATCTCTTTGAAATCTGGAGAATGCGCAAGCCAAACGGGGGCACTTTATAGGCTGGAGACCATCAATACGCTTCTAAAAAAGAAAGGTAAACATGACGTCTTGATCAGAACATGTGGATATCCTGAAAGAACCTGAAACTGTAGCTGGGAGGAGGTGCTTGTTTTTTTAAGCTATGCCTTCATGATGGTCACTATCATACCGTATGTTTTGGTAGTTGGTTGCCAGATTTGGTTGCTGGTGTTCCAACAAGGCCTTAACCAGCAAGACTTCCTTGGCCATGAAGCACCTCCAGACAAAAAACATGTTGGTTGACTAGCTTCACCATCTCCTTTTCACAAAGAACAGCATGGACATACTGTAATCGAAAGGCTTTTAGTTTACTTTAGTATTTTTTTAGTTGCTACATGGAGAACGGCACTTGTATTTGTCTGGTGAATCTATGAACTGTACACTCTATTCAGAAGTCAAACAAACTAAACTTCCATGTCAGATGGACTTGTGTCCATTCCAAAAGCTCTCGCGTGAAAGCATACGTGGTCTAGAGGATCTTGAAAATATAACAGATGACTGATAAATAATGCACGATTTCATAGGACGGAGAGAGATGTGTGCTTGTGTGTTTGTAAGTGTAGGTGGATTTCAATTTTGTGTACAAACATTCTCTGTCAGTTTGAATAGGAAAAATTCACATAGGAAAGAAAATCCACAAATGAAATCCTTTTCATATCTTAAGACATCAATTACTATCAGATGGAGAGCAAAGTCTGCAGAAGACCCAGTAGCATACGAGTTGTATGTACTGCTTTTATGGTGCTTGGCAGACCCTGGTCATTATGAACTTTCATATACTTTCGTTACTTATAGTCTTTAAAATTGCATGGAGGTTCTAACCTGTAAAAAAAAAACAGTCCTGTAAATGAATGGTAAAAAAACTGATCACCATAATGGTGACTACAAACTTTATTATTTTCAATA